CACCCCCAGTCTGTGATATACCGACTGGGGGTTGGGAGCCCCGGGGCCAGGGGCCTCAGCGCTTGCGGCTCCCCTTCCATGGCCCCTAAAAAACAAAATCAGTGTGTACATATATATATATATAATAATGTGGGGTGTGTTCGGGAAAATACTAGCGTGGCTTTACGGGAATTTTCTAGGACTGACCAAAACACACAGGCAAAATTGGCCTGCGCCGGGCCAAAAAACCCGGATTTTTAGCATCAAGAGCATATCGGCATCATGCAACATCATTACACCAGGCATCAAGACAATATTCTCCCCCCGTCCCCCGCACCACCTACGCTACCCCTCATCCTGGTGGGAAAAATCATTCAATTCGATTGAAATAGCATTCTGGTTCCTACGGGCCTGCAATTGACTCAGGCAGGCCAGGGTGGTCAAGGACGGAGAAGGGGTGAAGGTTGAAGCCCACACCCTCCCACCCGTCACCCCTCCTCCGCCCCTCCTCCCACCCTCACCACTCCGGAAAAGCTTGCGTGTACTTGAAGGGCAAATCCGGGACTTGCCGGTCGGGGACCCCAGAATCGAGGTTCCAACTCTAGGTTTGGGGTTCTGCAGACAATGTTCCAAGCTTGAGCTCCGCGATCAAAGTAGGAACATGCGGTTTGGGGCCACTTTGCTCCTGTGGACGGGTTCCAACTTTCCGGCTTCCACTGTACTCATATAGTATATACATTGGCCCCAAAGTACCAATATAGGGACTACTTTAAGGCCAAGGTATATGCTATTTGGGTACATGGACCCTTAGGGTTATCTTAAGCTCGTGTCTGAACGCCATAGATCGGCCCCTAAAACCCCCAACGTGCTGACACTCGAATGAACCGTGTGAGCCATACGATCAGACGGTTTTGAATGACATCTAGCATCAGTTTTAGCACCCGTCTCATCGTAATCTTTCAGATACCCTAAACCCTAAACCCTAAACCCTAAACCCTAAACCCTAAACTAGCCCCAAAAGAGCCCCTACGAAACCCTGAAGCATCTGTAGGGCTTAGCGTTGAGGGTTAATGCTGAAGCATCTGCTTGAACCTTGAGATGTACGCCCACATCAGGTTCCCCTAAGATAATAGGACGCCCCCAAAAAGCACATAAGCAAAAATTAGGATAGGGATATCCCATATAAATCCCCTTATACCGAAGCCCAATAAGGTAGGGATACTCCTATAAAAAGCTTATGCGTATGTCCTTTTTGGGCTCCTAAGATAAAGTCCTGAAGCCCTTCCCCACAACGTAACGCACAATCCACCCAAAAAAAAAACAGGCCTCAATTCTCACCGATATTGTCTCTCAGGGATCCTACTTAGATTTGTTTTAGGATATACCCCAAACCCATAGAAACCCTAAACCCTAAACCCCAAACCCTAAACCCCAAACCCATATATCGAAGCACCCAGGCCCTTTCTCGAAACCTAAGCCCGAAATCCCTTCTAGCGCCCTTTAAACCCAAAGGGTCCAAAGTACCTCAACGATAGAATGCAGGGTTTCTATATTAGGAGCCCTTATACTTATAAACCCTAAACCCTAAACCCTAAACCCTAAACCCTGAACCCTAAACCCTAAACCCTAAACCATAAACCCTAAACCCTAAACCCTGAGCATAATCATGATTTTGGCAAGTATGCCCCCTTAAGCTCCGAGCCGATGCAGCCTGGGTCAGCTGCTGCAAGGCTTCTCGCGTCTTGCGCTGCCGGCTGTCCTCAGAAGTCGCGACACAACTGGGTTTGGGGATTAGGGTTTAGGGTTTAGGGTTTAGGGTTTAAGGTTTAGGGTTTAGGGTTTAGGGTTTAGGGTTTAAGGTTTAGGGTTTACGTTTTAGGGGTTTAGGGTT